ATCCTGAAACTCACCTCTGCCTCCCTGCCTCTGCATTTGGGTCCTCACACCACAACCAAATCCTGACAGACACTTAATTCTGGTAATAGATAAAATTGTTTTTTAATATTAGTAAATCCAGTTTGAGATTAGTTTTAAAATAATTTATACTAAATCTGGAGAATTAGAATCACATATATTCTTGAAGTTGGAATTTATGCCCAGCCCTAAAACTAATAAACATTACTGTGTTGAGGTCCCGGTCTTTCAATAACTTATTTTTAACCAGTTTTATATTTCCCTAAACAAACAAGTTTCCACTAAGTTTATGGTGGAATTATGTCCTAATCCACTCAGTTTAGATGAAAGGATGACAGCAAAGTATTTGAAATAAAATAAAATAAAATGGGTACCCTTCATACTCGCTTTGACTAATGAGCTGTAGTTCAATGTAGCTGCAGGAGCAGAAAAACAGTCTGAAATTTCTAGGAAACTTTGAGAGACAAGTCAAACTTTTGGACAGATGGTTCTGCTGTAATCAGTGTTTGTTCGCTCCTCTAAACTACAGCAGGTCTTGTGAAGTGGGCAGTGGAGCAGAAAGTCAGAGTTCAAAGGTCGGTTCATGCTACATATTGTTTTCACTCACCTCCCCCCACCATTGTTTTACAGCTTTTAAACATTTTTTCCTGATTTCATTTCATTAGAGATCACTCAGATAGTTTGTTTAATACATAATAATTGCAGCTTAGTTATTAAATAGACTGACTGGTAAAGCGGGGGTCTCTGTGGACCCCCTTGCACTTAGATGCTAACTGAACCTGATGTGAATGTTTGATCAAGCCTGGGCTCCAAGTCCCATGTGTTTGAATCAGGGGGAGATGAGGGAAGAAAGAGAAGAGAAAGTCGCTGCATAACCCAAACAAAAGCTGACTTCCTCGCCTTGACTGTTAAAAGTAGCAGCTGGTGAGATAGAAAGGAGACTCTTTTTTTTTTGTCAAAAACTATAATTAAAGGGTGTGTGAAGAGCTTTACACTAAAAAAAGGCTAAACGTACATCCCTCAAGAGCTCCTTTGTCCCAGTTCCTGCATTTTTTCCTTACATTTGGGTTTCTCAACTTACTGTAGTTGTAGCACTAAAAGAAAGTATTATTTTCTGTAAGCCAGCAGACCTTTGATCAACCATCACGCTGTCCCTACTTGAAGGTTCATGTTCTCCTGCTCTCCTGTTCCAAGATTTGCTGTTGTGTCATTTCATCTTTATCCTCAAAAAAACACATTAGCAGTAGGGCTGGGCAATTAATTGCATTTGCAGTATAATCGCAATTTAACAAAATGCAATTTTCACAACACATATGCAGTAAATTTTGGTCATATTACATTTGAAAAGAGTAAGTAGCTAAATGTATCCCTCCAGCCCTTAAGCTGACGGTAATACGCTTATAGTGGGTTCGTAACCACACAGACGGGAAGAGAGAGGTGCAGCTACCATGCAAATTCATGCATGCAAGTACAATTAATCGATTCGTGACAAAACCTTACAGTAAAGTCCTGCAACAAAGGACTTTGGACAAGCAAGCTTTCCAGGTCATGAAAAAACAGAAACATTTACATGATTTTGGTTAATATAAAGGAAAATCGAGATAAAATTGCAATTGCAATATTGGTTTAAAATAATCACAATTTTCATTATTGGCAAAATCGTTCAGCCATAGTTAGCGGGCCGCCAATTTGTCATTTTGAAGTCAGAGCTCCTCAGAAGTCACACAGAGGCTGCTGTTAACGTTACTATTATTGGACGATGGACGATGGCAGTGTCACTACGAGATCCGTCCTGGAAGAACGGCTTATTTGTACAACCAGATATACATCCGGCTTTTCATAGTTCATGTAATTAACCACTAAAGAATGCTGATTCACAACTTTATAAATGTTTTATGACTTTTCTGAGGCAATTTGGATGCTTTTTAGAGTTTCTCTGTTAAACTGCTTCTCTTACGTCTTCATTGAACATGCTCAGAGCAGTCTGGCAAGAGATGATTAAACCATGTTTATCTGCATTTTAGTTGTTTCTTGCTTTAGGTTACACACTATATACCATAATTTTAACACGAAAGGAAAAAATAAAACTCAAAAAGACAAGATTTATATTCCTATGCTCCTGGAATTCGCATAGGATCCCATTTCCGCCACAGATGAGTGAGAAAACAAAGGATTTTAAGGCATTTCTTTTCTATTTCTTTTGTATATCCAGTTGTGCAGATGAGCTGATTTCATGGATTGTGCCTCCAGAAGAGATCGGGTTAGGAAAGAGTTAGGGAAGGGTAGAAGCAGAGATACAAAAGGCAACTGTAAACCAGCTCCACAGGCAGCCCCGTCCAGGAAACACACAGGCAGGCAGACTAGCTCTGAGCCAGCTTGCATGTCATAGGATGAAAGAGAACACATCCAGCCAGTCACTGTCAGAGAAACAGGACTAGTCTGAAAAACCGAACAATCTTGAGCATCTATAAACGAAGGTGTTGACGGCAGCAGCACAGCTGATATTACTCTCCAGGATGGAGTCACACCAAAACATGAAAAGACAAGGCGAAGCTCCTATGAGAAAAAGCAGAGAGAGCATAACGTTAGAGATTGAACTAACAAATTCTGCAGTGGGAGAATAGAGATAGAATGAAGCAGAATGATGAAAAAGGAGTCCCTATGTCCTCCAGCATACTAAGCCTATAAGCAGCATAACTATAGAGATAACTAAGGATAACCTGAGCCTCTCTAACAATCAGTTTGATCAAAAAGGAAAGTTTTAAGCCTACCCTTAAAGGCACACTATGCAACATTTTTCAGTTAATTAATGTGTTCCATAACGTTATGGATGATTAAATGAGTCATTTCAGGGTGAACAAAGGTATTCTCGGCCGCCCTGGTGGTCTGTGGGGGAAATACTGCACTTGCAATTGCAGGAGCACCAACCCGCACCCACAGGCTCAGAAGTCTCGTGAGAGTCAGTCTTGCTTTACGGCGAGAACTGCTACACGCCCCCAGTTAAAAGCATTCTCGTTGCTAGCACAGTGGCAATCTTTGTGCAGTTATGCTACGTTCACGCAGCAAAAGCAGCGTCTGCTGCTTCCTTTTTGCTGCTTGTACCAGTTAGTTCTGACGCGCGGCTAAAGCAGCTTTGCTGCTCTGGCTGCGCGGTGCAAAAGTGTGTCTGAGGCGCATTGGGCGGAGCTTCACTATCCTTTCTCTGCCTTGCAGCTATATTTGCTGTGATCAGTGGGAATAAAGTAGTTTTAATGTGTGTTTAAGTGAGAAAATACACCTGAAAACGTAATCAGTGCAGTCAGTTCATTCAGATTATTATCCTGCCTTCAATATTTTTTCTGTCGGAGCCGCTCAAACCCCCACATACCAGGGATGCGCCGACAGTATGGATCCCTTCATCAGCAGCGGTTCACCGCGGCAGCTGGTAGGTGTTTTTCATCTAAATAATCCAAGCTGCTTATTCTGCCGGCAGATTTCTGCATTTTAAGTTAATTTAGGCGTCAATAAACTGTTTAAGAGGAGTGATCATCAGCGCTGTGTCTCTCTCCCTGCGTTAAACGCACCCGACGCGCTGCTTCAGCTGCTCAGACGTGCTGCGCCTGCTGCTCAAAATGCACCGCGGGACCTTTTGCTGCGCCTTGACGCGCGTCAACCATTGACTTTGCATGTAAACTCGCTGCTTCTGTCGCGCCAGCTTTGTCCAGTGTGAACGCAGCATTAGTCATTCGCTGCTAAGCTCAAAACAACCGCGCCTGGCTTGACGGAGAAACCAGGAGAACAGCTGTGCATATTTACGACAGTGCACTTTTACTTTCGCTCTCTGGGGGGAGCCTCGCTGGAAAATCAACACCGGTTGCATAGTGTACCTTTAAAAGTAGACAGAGTGATTGCCTAACAGACTAAAACTGGTAGTTGGTTCCACAGGAGAGGAGCCGGATAACTAAAAGACCGACCTTCCTATACAATACAAAGATGTAGTGATTGTTATATAATTTTTTTGTTTACTAAGTAAATAAAAAGTATGTCGCTTTGAAGCAGAAATTGACTCCACTTCTTAGAAGGGTAATTAAGGAAGGAATGAAATCTGTGATTAAAAAAGATCTTAACAGTTTAAATTGTTTTTCTGAGCTCTGTAAGCCGTTACATCCAACCACTAAGAGAGAAATGGAGGTCCTGACGTCAGGCTTTATGTAAGACGGAGACTAAATAAATGGGTTTTGATCTGTCCTCTGTAAAAGACAAGAGCTCGACTGATTCAGACGGCATATAATCTAATAAAAAAAAGAAATTATAGAACAAAAAAAACAGCATTTGCCCTTTTTTTGAAAATCCGTCATATTTGGTTGCAGTAGATTTCACATTTTTATAGCAGAGTGAGTCATAAAACTGCAGCCTCTGTGTTAGTACTCCATCAGTGTCCCATCAGAACAAAATTGACTTCTGAATCAGAGATTTTTTTTTCTTGCCTGAGAAATTATTCTGTGATGCAAGAGTGAAAGACTGAAATCCTTATAAACCTTGTTTTTTTACTGTGTGAGCGACACAGAAGCATTCTTATATGATTTAGGATGTAAAGAACACATCCATTGCTGCAAATGAGGGATCAGTTTTCTTCAGTCTGCTGCATTTGATCAAGTGTTTGTTTCGTAACGATTTCACACCTGCTTTAGTGCTAAAATATGTAAAAGAAGTTGCACACAGACTCATAACCCTGTTAAATTAAACGCTTATTTTTCAAGCTTAGTGCTGGAAATGTTTCTCTGATGATGTGAAGGGGGGGATGTGTCACATTTCTTGTGTCACACAGACTGTTATCATACTTGCATGCGGCAGAAAGCGACCTGTGATCACACACACAGCAGATTTACAGCACATATTTTGGTATGAGAGGCGACATCGAGCCCGGTTAACTTGTAGAAAGTAAGAACAGATTTTGCAAAAGTTCAGTCAAAATCTGATCCTTTTGTGTTGTGCTTTCTCAGGGCTGGATGACTGCCTGCAGCAGTACATCAAGACTTTTGAGAAAGAGAAAGTTGGGGGAGACCAGCTTCTACGCATCACCCACCAAGAGCTGGAGGACTTGGGGGTGTCCAGGATTGGCCACCAGGAGCTCATACTGGAGGCTGTGGACTTACTCTGTGCACTGGTGAGTCTGAGGCCAACCTCACAGTTAACTACTACTCTCTTTGGGTCACAGAAGGAGCTTTCATGTGTATAATCTGTCGAATTAATTAATAAGACAAAAAAAGAAAAAAAAATGCAGATAGAAAATTGATAGAAAAACCCACAAATTGCTACAAAAGGATTCTACCATTTGGTGTGCGGGTGTGCAGTGGTTAGTACACATGAGCCATGTACGGAGCTGCGGCCGACCCGGGTTCGAATCCAACCTGTGGTCCTTTTCCACATGTCTCTCCCCCTCTCTTGTACCCTATTTCCTGTTAGCATACTGTTAAAAGAATGCACCACTAGTGCTGTAAAAACTCAAAAAAGAAGAAAAAAAAGGATTTTACCATTTAAAGCTTTTTCATTTTTAAGGTAACAGATAGTGCTTCAGGGATCCACCACTTTGTACTAGGAGGCCCATGTGTAGTTCAGGTATAAAGGTTACAAACCTGCTCAGATCACATTGAACTCTGTGGAGGCTTTGGGGATTGATATGGGTACTTGCAACTTTTCAGAGCACAAGTGCATGATTAATCATAATTAATCTTTTCAGGCCTGTCTGTCAGCATGCTAGTAATGGAGGTTTTAGATGCAGTCGCTTTAATCCAATATTAATCTGTGCATTGAGGATAAACCAGTATGGAGTTAACTTTGTTCCATTATTATTGCAGCTAAAAAAAACAATCCATTTGTAAATGGAAATTAAAAAAATGCAATCCAGAAATGAAGCTTTTAAAAATTTCTAAATCAAATAAAGAGAGAAAAGTTTAAGTCGATTCCTCAGATTAAATTTATTCAATTTATTTTATTTACATTTTCTTTTCATATTTTATTTTACAAATTTAATCTATTGAAATTATATTATTTCAAACTTCTCTTTTTCAGATTATGTTTTTATGAATTGCATTCTTTTTAAAATGCGTCTTACAAACACTCTCTCGACCAATAAAAGTGTTTTTTGCTAACGTCCAGCAGACCAATAGAAACAAAACAACCGTTTTGAAACAACAGAAGAAGAGAGTGTTCCGAAACAAAACAACCGTTTTCAAACAGCAGAAAGAGTGTTCCGAAACAAAACAACCGTTTTGAAACAACAGAAGAAGAGAGTGTTCAGAAACAAAACAACCGTTTTCAAACAGCAGAAGAAGAGAGTGTTCCGAAACAAAACAACCGTTTACAAACAGCAGAAGAAGGAGAGTGTTCTGAAACAAAACAACCGTTTTGAAACAACAGAAGAAGAGAGTGTTCCGAAACAAAACAACCGTTTACAAACAGCAGAAGAAATAGTGTTCCGAAACAAAACAACCGTTTTGAAACAACAGAAGAAGAAGAGTGTTCCGAAACAAAACAACCGTTTTCAAACAGTAGAAGAAGAAAGTGTTCCGGGACTAAACAACCGTTTTGAAACAGCAGAAGAAGTAGAGTGTTCCGAAACAAAACAACCGTTTTCAAACAGCAGAAGAAGGAGAGTGTTCCGAAACAAAACAACCGTTTTGAAACAACAGAAGAGAGTGTTCCGAAACAAAACAACCGTTTTCAAACAGCAGAAGAAGGAGAGTGTTCCGAAACAAAACAACCGTTTTGAAACAACAGCAGAAGAGAGTGTTCCGAAACAAAACAACCGTTTTCAAACAGCAGAAGAAGAAAGTGTTCCGAAACAAAACAACCGTTTTGAAACAACAGAAGAAGAAGAGTGTTCCGAAACAAAACAACCGTTTTGAAACAACAGAAGAAGAGAGTGTTCCGAAACAAAACAACCGTTTTCAAACAGCAGAAGAAGAAAGTGTTCCGAAACAAAACAACCGTTTTGAAACAACAGAAGAAGAAGAAGAAGAGTGTTCCGAAACAAACAACTGTTTTGAAACAACCGAAGAAGAAGAAGAGTGTTCCGAAACAAAACAACCGTTTTGAAACAACACGAGAAGTGTTCCGAAACAAAACAACCGTTTTGAAACAACAGAAGAAGAAGAGTGTTCCGAAACAAAACAACCGTTTTCAAACAGCAGAAGGAGGGTGTTCCGAAACAAAACAACAGTTTTCAAACAGCAGAAGAAGAGTGTTCCGAAACAAAACAACCGTTTTGAAACAACAGAAGAAGAAGAGTGTTCCGAAACAAAGCAACCGTTTTGAAAAACAACAGAAGAAGAAGAATAGTGTTCCGAAACAAAACAACCGTTTTCAAACAGCAGAAGAAGAGAGTGTTCCGAAACAAAACAACCGTTTTGAAACAACAGAAGAAGAGTGTTCCGAAACAAAACAACCGTTTTGAAACAACAGAAGAAGAGAGTGTTCCGAAACAAAACAACCGTTTTCAAACAGCAGAAGATGAGAGCGTTCCGAAACAAAACAACCGTTTTCAAACAACAGAAGAAGAAGAGTGTTCCGAAACAAAACAACCATTTTCAAACAACAGCAGAAGAAGGAGAATGTTCCGAAACAAAACAACCATTTTCAAACAGCAGAAGAAGGAGAGTGTTCCGAAACAAAACAACCGTTTTCAAACAGCAGAGGAAGGAGAGTGTTCCGAAACAAAACAACCGTTTTCAAACAGCAGAAGAAGGAGAGTGCTCCGAAACAAAACAACCGTTTTCAAACAGCAGAAGAAGGAGAGTGTTTCGAAACAAAACAACCGTTTTCAAACAGCAGAAGAAGGAGTGTGTTCCGAAACAAAACAACCGTTTTCAAACAGCAGAAGAAGGAGAGTGTTCCGAAACAAAACAACCGTTTTCAAACAGCAGAAGAAGGAGAGTGTTCCGAAACAAAACAACCGTTTTGAAACAACAGAAGAAGAGAGTGTTCCGAAACAAAACAACCGTTTTCAAACAGCAGAAGAAGAGTGTTCCGAAACAAAACAACTGTTTTGAAACAACAGAAGAAGAAGAGTGTTCCGAAACAAAACAACCGTTTTCAAACAGCAGAAGAAGAGTGTTCCGAAACAAAACAACCGTTTTGAAACAACAGAAGAAGAAGACTGTTCCGAAACAAAACAACCGTTTTCAAACAGCAGAAGAAGGAGAGTGTTCCGAAACAAAACAACCGTTTTCAAACAGCAGAAGAAGAGAAGTGTTCCGAAACAAAACAACCGTTTTGAAACAACAGAAGAAGAAGAGTGTTCCGAAACAAAACAACCGTTTTCAAACAGCAGAAGGAGGGTGTTCCGAAACAAAACAACCGTTTTCAAACAGCAGAAGAAGGAGAGTGCTCCGAAACAAAACAACCGTTTTCAAACAGCAGAAGAAGGAGAGTGTTTCGAAACAAAACAACCGTTTTCAAACAGCAGAAGAAGGAGTGTGTTCCGAAACAAAACAACCGTTTTCAAACAGCAGAAGAAGGAGAGTGTTCCGAAACAAAACAACCGTTTTCAAACAACAGAAGAAGAGAGTGTTCCGAAACAAAACAACCGTTTTCAAACAGCAGAAGAAGAGAGTGTTCCGAAACAAAACAACTGTTTTGAAACAACAGAAGAAGAAGAGTGTTCCGAAACAAAACAACCGTTTTCAAACAGCAGAAGAAGAGTGTTCCGAAACAAAACAACCGTTTTGAAACAACAGAAGAAGAAGACTGTTCCGAAACAAAACAACCGTTTTCAAACAGCAGAAGAAGGAGAGTGTTCCGAAACAAAACAACCGTTTTCAAACAGCAGAAGAAGAGAAGTGTTCCGAAACAAAACAACCGTTTTGAAACAACAGAAGAAGAAGAGTGTTCCGAAACAAAACAACCGTTTTCAAACAGCAGAGGAAGGAGAGTGTTCCGAAACAAAACAACCGTTTTCAAACAGCAGAAGAAGAGAAGTGTTCCGAAACAAAACAACCGTTTTGAAACAACAGAAGAAGAAGAGTGTTCCGAAACAAAACAACCATTTTCAAACAGCAGAAGAAGGAGAGTGTTCCGAAACAAAACAACCGTTTTCAAACAGCAGAGGAAGGAGAGTGTTCCGAAACAAAACAACCGTTTTCAAACAGCAGAAGAAGGAGAGTGCTCCGAAACAAAACAACCGTTTTCAAACAGCAGAAGAAGGAGAGTGTTTCGAAACAAAACAACCGTTTTCAAACAGCAGAAGAAGGAGTGTGTTCCGAAACAAAACAACCGTTTTCAAACAGCAGAAGAAGGAGAGTGTTCCGAAACAAAACAACCGTTTTCAAACAGCAGAAGAAGGAGAGTGTTCCGAAACAAAACAACCGTTTTGAAACAACAGAAGAAGAGAGTGTTCCGAAACAAAACAACCGTTTTCAAACAGCAGAAGAAGAGAGTGTTCCGAAACAAAACAACTGTTTTGAAACAACAGAAGAAGAAGAGTGTTCCGAAACAAAACAACCGTTTTCAAACAGCAGAAGAAGAGTGTTCCGAAACAAAACAACCGTTTTGAAACAACAGAAGAAGAAGACTGTTCCGAAACAAAACAACCGTTTTCAAACAGCAGAAGAAGGAGAGTGTTCCGAAACAAAACAACCGTTTTCAAACAGCAGAAGAAGAGAAGTGTTCCGAAACAAAACAACCGTTTTGAAACAACAGAAGAAGAAGAGTGTTCCGAAACAAAACAACCGTTTTCAAACAGCAGAAGGAGGGTGTTCCGAAACAAAACAACCGTTTTCAAACAGCAGAAGAAGGAGAGTGCTCCGAAACAAAACAACCGTTTTCAAACAGCAGAAGAAGGAGAGTGTTTCGAAACAAAACAACCGTTTTCAAACAGCAGAAGAAGGAGTGTGTTCCGAAACAAAACAACCGTTTTCAAACAGCAGAAGAAGGAGAGTGTTCCGAAACAAAACAACCGTTTTCAAACAGCAGAAGAAGGAGAGTGTTCCGAAACAAAACAACCGTTTTGAAACAACAGAAGAAGAGAGTGTTCCGAAACAAAACAACCGTTTTCAAACAGCAGAAGAAGAGAGTGTTCCGAAACAAAACAACTGTTTTGAAACAACAGAAGAAGAAGAGTGTTCCGAAACAAAACAACCGTTTTCAAACAGCAGAAGAAGAGTGTTC